GCAGGCTGGGGGCTGGCATGTAGCTGTGTGACGTGGTGCCGCTCGCTGGCAGCCCTGCTGAGGATCCTAATCCTATGCCTGGCCCAACTCTGAAGACCCTGAGCTGTCCTGATGATGCTGGGTTGCTGTGAGTGCGTGTCAGTAGGCTTCAGCCTTTCCCTTCCCTCCTCCTTCTCCCTGTCTCTGGCTGCTGGTCCTCTTCTCCTGCAGCTGGACAGGGGCAGCTTATCCTGCACCCCCAGCTCCCTCTGCCCACCCTTCTTGCCCCACTGCCCCAAACTTCCCCACCACTCCCCCTGCTGCCTGTTACCAGCCATGACATAACCCATGTGGTTGCTCAGCATCCAAGTTCCATCTGTAGGCTTAAAAAAATTTTTTAAAATTAATTTAAAAAGCACACTACTGATGTTGAAGCTAGCCCAGTTCATTTTAACTGAAATAAGCAAGCAAACAATTACTTCAGCAGTTATGCCAGCAGTTTGTGGGGAGAGGAAACCTCTGGCATGCCGGGGGAAGGAGCTGACACGTGGCGATGACAGCCGGGTTAAGGAATCAGTCATGTTCTCACGGAGCTCAGCTGCAGGCAGCGCTGGCGGCACGGTCACCGCCCCACGCGCGGCACCGGGCTGCCTTCCGCAGCCCCCGGCCCCACGGTGCTCACTGGCTGGCTGGGGAGGATGCTCCGTGGCGGCGCACCGCCACGTTCCACTGCAGTTCGCCACACTTGGAAGCTCAGCAGCTTCCATTTTTTGACTGTTGTCCTTCAGAGATGTTTAAAGAGTTGGCACCTGTGCACTCGCCTCTAAACCAGACAAACCTCCAAAAAACAAACGAAAAAAACTTCTGCAGAAAAAAATCTGTCAAACTGCAGTCAATCCTTTCCCTTGCCTCTCTTATCTACACATAATCACCTGTGCTTGCTTTTTTTGCATCATTTATAGGTAACTCGGCAAAACTTGGGGATGAGTTTAAAAACCACCCAGATGACTCTCTGTAGTGCTCTGAGATGTCCTGTATACAATATTTTAAGTGTATTTCAGATTGAACTTTGTGCGTGTCTTTAGTTTGAGTTGGAGACATGGAAGAAAATGTCATTTTCCAAAAAAAAAGCTGTTTTGGGGAGAGCTTTTTGCATTGCTAGGGAATCTGAGATGAGCACGGTCAGCAGACCTGAACACGGTGAACGTTCGTACTTCTGCTAAAATGTTACATGCAGAAATCCTCATGACACTATTTGCATGTGTGTAGAATTATGTGTGGATCTGATATAGTGGGTGTGTGTTTCTGAAATGTAATATATAATGGGTTTTGCATGCAGTGAAAATTTGAATCTCCTTGTCAATCTAGACACCCTAAATTATGCCAATGACTACTCTGTGAATTTAGGAGGTCTAATAAAATTTTATTTAGTGCTATTCATGTGGGGATTAAGGCTTAACTATTATTTATGGTGTTCTTTAAAAATATTCTTACCTTGATGGTGTTTCAAAGAAGTACAAAAATCCTTAGGGCCCAACATCCTGCAGTGGGGAAACTATTTGGTTAAGCCAAAGAGGTTGTAGTATTAACCTGTTTGTAAGAAAGTGAGCTCTTGCTATTTGATTGGACTTTGAACTTGAGAAAAATACTGTGTTGAATGTTTCATAGAACAGGTATTCACTGGCTCTTAGGGCTATTTGTGAATGGCTATTTGATAAAGGCTTTAGTGTTTGCAACTCCTATTATGGAAACTTTCTCGTTTTGTGAATCTAGTTGATTTACTGGGATATAAGTTAATATTAATCTTCCTCATTATGAAGACTGCATTTAGCTTCTGGCAGTATGCAGAAGTCATTATTGTCACATGTTTCTAATTTCTGAAAATTAATGTTTTAAAGATAAACACAAAAAGAAGAAACTCTGGACACATTAACAGGAAAGTAGTTGAAGTTCTGCCATAAACGCTTATGAAAAACTGTATAATGCTGTTTGGCCTCATATAATTTCCTGGGGAATTCAGATCCTTGAATAAGTAACTGGAGTTTTATAATACTTGTGTGACAGACAGAGCATGCTTGTTATGTAAACATAGTTACTAAAGATACTAGGACAGATGTGTTTAATACTATAAATTGATCTTACTTGAGCATAAAAGTGACTGAAGTCCTTTTAAATACTAGCTAACACACCTACTGATTACGCCAAAAGTACAGAATTTGTCTGAATCTTTGACCTTCATTAAGCCTTTTTGTCTTGAGTATACACATCTGACCTGTGTCTCAAGTTGCAAGCTGCTTACTTTATAAAATGAGTCCATAAACTTTTCTTAACATATAATTGAATCTCATTTCCAGTGAAGGGGAGCAACAATGCTATAGGTGAGCATTGATCAAGATACTAAACACTTTAGATCATACGTTTCTTGTGACATCTTGTGAGGAACCTGAATTCTCACGTTTTCACTGTGTGGTCCTTGGGTCTACGGAGTGTATGTGTGAAGC